AGGATCGAGGACCCCGATCCACCCAGTGATTTAAAAAGGCGCTCGGGCGCTCGCCTAGGCGCTCGGGCGAGGTGAGGCTAGGCCCGAGCGCCTCGCTTAATTTCCAGGCGACTCGCCTAAGTGCCCGGGCGAGCCCAGGCGCCGGGCGCTTCGGGCGAGCGCCTGGGTTAAACCAGGTGACCAAACCAACGATTTAGGTCTGGTTCGGTCTCCGGTGCTTTAGTTGGTTCAATCGAACCAACTAAAGCACCGATATCAGCGCGACTTCCCCAACCCTAACCCTACTCTCCGTTCACGTTGCTCGCTACCGCTGCCGCTCCCGCTGCTCGCTTTTACCGCTGTCGCTGCCACTGTCGCCGTTGTCGCTGCCTTTATCGTCGCTCGCCACTCCCGCTCCAACTGCTCGCTGCTGCCACTGCCACTATCGTCGCTCGCCGTTGCCGCTACCGCTCCCACTTTTCTCAGCACCCTCGATCTTCCCTTACCCTCTTCTCTTCTCTTTCGCTTCTCTTTCGAAATCGAAAGTATACTGTTAACAGTATACTATATACTATTAACTGTATACAGTATACTGTTAACTGTATACAGTATAACACTATTATTTTGATTTTAATACTATTAATTTTTATTTATTTAAAATTATGGTTAGGTTTCAGGATAAATGACAAGTGTACAGAGCAACTCAATAGAGTCTCTAATGGCATCAAAAAAAGATCTTGCATGAAAGTATAGTTATCTAAATGATCCGAAAGATCCTAATGCAGTGACTTGCATGTTCTGCGATAAGACTACTAGAGGTGGTATTTTTCGTGCAAAACAACATCTGATAGAAAATTTCAAGAATACAGCAGCTTGAAAAAAGTGTCCACTTGAGGTAAAAGAAAAGTTGCTGAGTTATATGAATGAAAAGAAGACGCAAAAGAATTAATCTTACGGGAATTTACTAGAAGACAATGTTGAACATCTCAAGGATGAAGAAGATTATTCTATGAGTATGAGTGTTAACCCAAGTGGGAAAAAAGTATACGACAAAAAAGGAAAAGAAGTTATTGAGTACTAAGAAGGGTAAAAAAGAACCGATGAATTTATATATGTTTCAAGAATCACAGAAGCAACAAGGGCAAACAAGAGGCTCAAAATTTACACAAACAAATATAAGTGATTCTTGTCATAAAGAAAAAAGAGGATGAACAATTCAGCATATTGCTCGCTTCTTCTATCAGGCTGGTCTTCCTCTTAGTACAACTCGTTTAGACAGTTTTAAGGAAATAATTGAAGCTATTGGAAGATATGGTGCGGGATTAAAACCTCTAAGTTATTATGAGATGTAAGTTCCATTGTTGTAAAAAAGAGTTGAATTATACAAATGACTTACTAATGAATCATAAAGAATCATGGGCAATACATGGTTGCTCTATTATGTCAGATGTTTGGACTGATAGGAGGCGTAGGAGTATAATTAATTTTATGGTTAACTGTTCTTTAGGGACTATGTTTGTGAAATCAATAGATGCTTCATCTTTTGTAAAATTTGGAGACCAGATATATGATTTACTTGATAAGTTCGTGGAAGAAATTGGAGAACAAAATGTCGTTCAAATCATAACCGACAATGGAAGCAACTATGTATTAGCTGGTAATATTCATCTTTTGAATTTTTTAATTATTTTATCTTCAATTAAATATGTTAAACTCCTAAGTCTTATTATTTTTGTTATCCTCTATCTCAGGTAAATTGCTTGAATAAAAAAGACAACACTTATATTGGACTCCATGTGCGGCACATTGTATTGATTTAATGTTGGAGGATATTGGAAAGGTCTTAGATATCAAGAAAACCTTAGAAAGAGTAATTTTTGTTGTTGGATTTCTTTATAATCATATTGGGGCTTTGAATATGATGAGAGAATTCATAGGGAACAAAGAATTAGTGAGATATGGTGTCACCCAATTTGCAACTTCATTCTTGACATTACAGAGCATGCATCGTCAAAAACATAATCCGAGAAACATGTTTACCTCTAAGAAATAGGTGACAAGCAAATAAGCAAAAGAAGCAAAAGGCAAGAGGGCTACTGATATCATCTTAATGCCATCCTTTTGGAATCATGTAGTTTATATATTAAAGGTAATGGGCTCTCTTGTTCAAGTCCTTTGGTTGGTGGATAATGAAAATAACCCTACAATAGGATATATTTATAAGGCTATGGATAGAGCAAAGGAGACGATTAAAAGGTATTTTAATGAAAATGAAGAAAAATATGAGAAAATTTTTACAATCATTGACGAAAGATGAAATTGTCAACTTCATCATCCCTTACATGCAGTAGGATATTATTTAAACCCTGAATTCTTTTATAAGATTAAATTTGTTAGGTTTGATGTAGAAGTTTTGGATGGGTTATATCAATGCATTGCAAGATTAGTTTCAAGCCTTGAGGTGCAAGATAAGATTATTCGCGAATTATCTTTATATAAAAATGTCGAAGGTCTTTTTGGAATTCCAATAGTTGTTCGATCCAAGACAACTACGTCTCCAGGTATTAATAATTTGATATAATTAATTTCATCTATAGTATGTTACTATATTATTGCTAATAATAACATAAATTTTGTAGCTGAATGGTGGAGTCTATTTGGAAATTCCACCCCGAACTTATAGTAATTTGCTATCAAAGTACTTAGTTTGACATGTAATGCTTCGGGTTGTGAGCGAAATTGGAGTGTCTTTGAGCATGTAAGGATTACTAAATATTTTTATTTTAATTAATTTAATTATTTAGATAGATGTATTAATATATTTTAAAATTATATGACATGACAGATTCACTCAAAGAGAAGAAATCGGTTGGAACATCAACGATTACACGATCTTGTTTTTATAAAATATAATCAAGCTTTTAAGGCTCTCATGATTTACAAAATAGAATCGATTCAATCTCATTGCAAGATATTGATGATTCAAATGAGTGGTTGGTGGGAGAAATGGGTGCTAACTTGTAAGATGCCAAAGACGAGCTTATATTTGAATATGATAGATTGACATGGGGAGATGTGGCAAGAGCTTCAGGTGCCGGAGAATTACAAACATATACAAGATAGATGATAAAGAGAAAAATGAGTGCAAAAGCATTAAGCTCGACTCTTGCTATTGTTGAAGACATAGAGAATGAAATATATTTTGATGAATGAGTCGAAGGACAAGAGGAAGAGGACAAATTCAATGAAGATGATTTGTGTGAAAATGACGATAATATTAATTATGATGAATAACTTTGATGTAAAATTTTATTGTTTTGAATTTTGAAACTTTTTGTTAATGTGATATTATGATTTTGTATCTTATTTTCTTAATTTAATAGCATATTTTTATTTAAAATTTTAAATAAATATATTTATTAATTATATTTTATATTTTTATATTTTAGTGCCTCATTTCGCTCGGGCGAGCGCCTAGCGCCTCGAGCGCTTTTTAACCGTGACGCCTTAATTTAATAGCATATTTTTATTTAAAATTTTAAATAATTTTATTTATTAATTATATTATATATTTTTATATTTTAGCGCCTCACTTCGCTCGAGCGTGTGCCTAGCGCCTCGGGCATTTTTGAACCGTGGCGCCTTTTAATGCCTAGCGCTTTTTAAATCATTGGATCCATCGCCCATGAAGGCCCATCATTTATTTTGGTGGTAGAATCAGCAATCATGTATATCTACATATGTGATTATTTAATTCATTTAAATTTTAGAGTTTATATTATAATAAAATAGTCTAACAATTCAAATGATTTTTCTATAGATATTTCAATATTTACATAAGGACATAATGGACTGAAATACGAACCTTGTACAAGGCTATTCCTCAAAGTCCGAAAAAGATATGTGATACTATTCTTACCTAATTTATATTGATTTTGCTAAACTTATACTATTACTATATTTATTTCTTAACTTAAAAACCCTATTCTAATTTTTTTTTATTTTCAGGTATTTTTGAAGGATTTTACGCCTAAATTAGGTGTACCGCTCGGTACACGATAGGTACCGTACCGTACCGAGCGAAGCTTGAAACTTCAGTATAGTACAAAATTTCAATCCTCGAATGAAATAACCATTAAGCACCAAACAACTTTCCCAGTCAAGAACTTTAGTGCAACCAAAGCAAGCAGAGCTTGTATAGGGTAGGATTACAAACTCGCTCTTGCATCAGTGATTCTTCTTGTTGACTAATAGTTGACTTGAGCTGCTGGAACAGTGACAAAAATGAAGGGCAAAGAAGGATGGATAAGGCTTTTGAGTGTAGCCCCTAAGAAATTACTCACATGCATGAATCATACAATGATAAGATTAGAGATTCACCTTGTTTCCTACTAAACAAAAAGGACATTACAGTTGCCATCTACCAAAGCAACTTATTCCAAGTCACCGTGAGGACTAAGTTGATCATGAGGTCTCATACAACAAATCCCCTGGTTTTTAAAATGTCTGATGCTGCAACATTTTTACCAGGGACAAGAGTACAGCCAAAATATGTTAAAATCTAGTAAATAAGGCCATTTTACCTAGAACTCAATGTTTAGGCCCAAAAATTTTCAACAACCAAGCTTCATTAGGCCAACATGACACTGGAGTCCAGAAAGACAAAATGCTCTGGTATCGCCAGGCAATGATTTTAATTCAATTAGCTTGCTACAACTCTGAGATTGCTGCATAAAGCAGGATCTCAATTAACTGATGTAGCATAGATTTTGGTAAAATACCCACAACTATATGTTTATTGCCAGTTAACTGAAATCAGTATTTCTTTATTGCACATCACTTAAATGCATTTGGGGGTTCCACAATAAAGTTCTACAAAATGATTTAAAAAACTCACAAATACTCATACTATCTACTTCAGAAACTTTGCTTCATGAACAATATTTTTATTATTGTGAAGATTAAGATCAACCATGATTTTTCAATAAAAAATGCCTAGCCTCTGCATGACCAACACTTGCCTCTCCAGTAAAAAATACAGGACGACATTCTTTTGCAGCTTTGATTGGATCAAATATGCTATCATATTCACCCCTTATTTTATGTGCAGACCATTGTGATGGAGCTCCCTACATCAAAAACAGGAACAAGCAACAAAAAAAATAAATCATAAAAACATGCATGAAGTTAATATGTTATAACATCTGGTCAACTAAAGAAACTCTTTTAGTTAGAGATAACCCTAGTCACCTGGCAGTAAATTGATTCATGCAAAAGAGCATAGAGTGGGTTTGTATCAAAGTCTATCCAGCTCTCAAACTGTCAGAAGGATATAAAGTCAATCATTGCAAATTGAGCAGCCTACCAGTACATTCTGAAATAGAAAAGTCATTAATAAGAGAAAAAACATGCAGAACTAAAAACAACACAAAATGATCCATGCACCACAGAAAGCTCCAAAGAATAACTATAGCTTTTTCTCCATTGCAGAGCTCATACACAAGAAAAATTAGTATAAGAAAAAAATGAGCATGCATTCAAATATATTATGCATTATGATAAAACAAACTGGAAAAAAGTGCAAAGAATGATATTTACAGCCTTCAAGAAATAGTAACTTATCCGCTTCCCCGTTCCTGGAACTAGTTCAGGATCCCAGACCCTTTCAAACCTGTAGTAAAAATACATTAAGCCCATGATATGAATGATAAGGTGTCAGAAGTTAAAACTAGATTGTTCCTTTACATGTAATGTAGACGTTCAAAACCACCACCAGAACCTAACCCTGCAAGTCCAAGAGTTTGCAATCCCCTTGGGGTTAAAATACCTCCAGATGGAAGAGACACCTATTCAGATATAAACTAATATGCTCTAGTTAAAGAAATATTAGGAAATCAAAAAGAGTAGAATTTAAATAATATGACTAACCCCTCCACCTTCAGCTTTGGCCAGATAATTTACAAGATCACAAATAACTTTAACATCTTGAGGAAACCGCTTATAGTACTTCTCATTTTGATGCACAACTTGTTCAAAACAGGCTCTGTATACAACATCTGCAGTGCAACCCTTTGCAATTGGTGGAATCCCACCGGTTAGGAGAACAGACTTTAGGCCTTCTGGAGCAAAACTCATATAGGTAACTGCACAGAAGCCACCGTAGCTCTACACCAGTGAAATAATAAGCAGAGTCAATTAATCAAATGCAAATAACTGCAAAATGTATAAAACGTATCAAGTATTCATATCACATAGAGATCTTTAGAAATTGAAAAACCAACTAGATATAAACTATAAATGATAGGTGAAGAAATGTACTAGATTTAGATTGTCAAGATCTCAGATTATAAAGTTCTACAAGAAGTCATATTTTGAATAAAGAGGTTGATCAAAATAGTATATTGAGTGTTAGTGTAGCAGAACTCTGGCATGTGAAATGCTCAAAGCTCTACAGAAACCATTATTGTCGACAACTGAACTTCGTAAAATCATGCAAAGATAAAAAATTACACCAAAATTTATTAAAGTTCTGCTAGATGACATTACCTTTGCATTACAGAGAGTAATATTTTCCACAGGTAGTGTTTTCAAAAGACACTCGAGCAAGGAGAGACAAGGCCCAAGCACCCTGTAAAACCTCGGGGCGAGGTGTTTCAATGAAATGCCACTTGGGCATTCACCTAAGCCCAGAAGTTGGGTGCCTCGGGCAAGTGCCTGAGACATATTGGGTTAGTTTCGAGCATGGGTTTGATTGGACGAGTAAGTTGGTTCAATCAACCCAACTAATGTAGTTACCTTAACCCCCCCTGTCCCCCCAAACACCATTGAAAGAAAACAGAACTGAAAACGAAACCCTATGTCTGCTGCCATCAACAACCTCATCTGTCGCCGTCGAAAACCTTGTCCGCCATCATCGACAACCTCATCCGCTGTCGCTGCCTTCATCTGCCGATCATCCGCCATAGCAACTTCATCCATTTGCCGCTGCAGCTTAGTCCACCACTCTCACCTTCCTCCACAACCACTGGTTACTTCTGTTCTCAGTCCACTCTCCAGAATTGTTTAGCACTATATTGAAAACACTGTTTAGCATAGGTCTCCACGAGTAGATACCTATTTAGCATATTTCTGTTTAGCCACATATATCACATTGATATGACAACACTACTTAGAACATAACAATGATTAAAGAACACTGCTTAGTAATTAGCATCCACCTCAAATTTCACCCCTTTTGAAAACATTGCTTAGAACATAAAAATATACTTTAAGTAGGAACATCAATTGATATCTTTTCTTTTTTCCTCCAAAACCAATGATTTAAAAAGCGCTAGGTGCCAAAAGGCACCAAGATCCCCAAATGCTCCAGCGCTCGCTCAAGTAAAACGAGACGCTCTGAAATATTAAAATATAAAAAATATATACTACAACTGATAAATATGATTATATAAATAAAAATACGACATTGAATTTAAAAGATCTAAAGTACCAAGTCACATTATCCATCTTTTAAATATGGTTTGTAATACCGTACCATACCGTACCACTTGGTACGGACAGTACATATCGGACAGTACATATAAGTCCGATATGTACGACAGTATATATCGATCCGATAGAGGATCAGTATAGGCAGTATACATGGGTACACCTTAGTAGACCATGTGTCAATACATTCGGTACAACTCGATACGTACCGTACCATGCCGACAGCTGATCGATACACCGGTATGGTACGATATTCAGAATCTTACTTTTAATAACAAAAATGTCAGAAGACTCAAAACAATAATATTTTACATCAAATTTAATCATCATCATCAACATCGTCACTCTCAAACATATCATCATCTCTCTTCCTCTCATCCATCTTCATCAAAATGTTACCTTCTCTCCGATAATGACAAGAGATAAACTTGAGGCTTTTGAACTCATTTTTGCCTTCGTCATCTATCTTATATATATCTGTAATTCTCCAATACCTATGGCTCTTGTCACATCTCCCCATGTCAAGCTGTCATCTTCAAATACAAACTCATCTTAGGCATCTTGTAAGTTCGAACCCATTTCCCCTACCAACCACTCATTTGAATAATCAATGTCTTGTAATGAGATTAAATCAATGTTATTTCGCAAATCATGATGAGCCTTCAATGCTTGATTATACTTTATATAAACCAGATCATGTAATCGTCGATGCTCTAACTGATTTCTTCTCTTTGTGTGAATCTATCATGTTATATAATAAAAATATATTATACATCTATCTAAAAAAGAATAGATTAATTGAAACAAAAATATTCTGTGAACTTTACATGCTCAAAAACACTCTAATTTTACTCACAACCCATTGCACTACAAGTCAAACTAAGAATTTTGATAGTCAATTACTACAAGTTCGAGGTACAATTTCAAAATAGACTCCACCATTCAGTTGAAAATTTTACTTTATTGTTAACAATAATATACTATACAAGAAATTAATTAATATAAATTTATAAATACTTGGGGATGTAGTTATCCTAAATCAAATTGCTATTGGAATTCCAAAAAGACCATTAGTATTCTTATATAAAGATAATTCATGTATTATCTTCTCTTGTACCTCGAGGATTGGAATCAATCTTGCAACGCACTTATATAACCCATTTATAACTTCTGCTTCAAAGTCAATAGAGGTGTTCTTATAAAAGAATCCTGGGTTCAGATAATATCCTACTACATGTAATGGACGATGAAGTTGACAATTCCATCTTTCATCAATTATTGCAAATATTTTCTTATACTTTTCTTCATTTCCATCAAAAAAATTTTGAATCGTCTCATTTACTTAATCTATAGTCTCATAAATATATCCTATTGGATGCTTCTTTTTATTATTTGCCAACCGAAGGACTTGAACAAAAGGGCCCATTACCTTTAATGTATAACCGAAGGACTTTGAACAAAAGGATTCCAAAAGGACGACATTAAAATGACATCATCGACCCTCTTACTTTTTGTTTCTTTTGGCCAGTTGTTTATCGCCCATTTATCCAAGGTAAATATGTTTCTTAGGTTATATTTTTGACAATGCATGCTCTGTAATGTCAAGAAAGAAGAAGTAAATTGAGTGACACTACATCTCACTAATTCCTCATTGCTTGTGAATTCCCTCGTAATATTCAAAGCCCCAATATGATTATAAAGAAATCCAACGACAAATATTGCTCTTTCTAAAGTCTTTTTTATGTCAGGAATCTTTCTAATATCCTCCAACATTAAACAATTACAAAATATCGTACATGGAGTCCAATATAAGTATTGTCTTTTTACATTAAGTAATTTACCAAAGGCAAAGGATAACAAAATTGATAAGACTTAAGAGTCATATAGTTCTTCCATTCAAATTAAAGATATAAAATAATTAAAAGATTAAAAAATTCAAAAGATAAATCTTGTCAGTTTACATATAGTCGCTTTTATTCTCGGTTATAACTTGGACAATATTTTGTTCACTAATTTCTTCCACAAACTTATCAAGCAACTCATTTATCTTTTCTCTAGATTTCATAATAGATGATACATCTATTAACTTCACAAACATGATTCCTAAAGAACATTTGATCATAAAATTAACTATACTCCTATGTCTCCTATCGGTTCAAGCATCTGACATGATAGAGCAATCATGCTTTATCCATTATTCTTTGTGGCCCTTTAATAAGTCATTTGTATAATCCAACTTTTTTTTTAATAATGGAACGCGTAATTTATAATAACTTTGAGGTTTTAATCCTCCACTATATCTTCCAATAGCTTCAATCATCTCTTTAAAACTATCTCAATAACAATTACTAAAGGGAAAGCCAACCTGATAAAAGTGAGCAATATGCTAAATTATTCTTCCCTTTATTTTCTTTCACAAGCATCACTTATATTTGTTTGTCTTAATTTTGCTCTTGCTTCCCTTATTATTTTTGTGATCCTTGATACATATATAAGTCCGTCGGTCGCTTTTTACCCTTCTTAACAACCATGGCTTCTTTTACTTTTCTATCATATATTATTTTCCCACTTCAATTGACACTTTCTGAATAGTCTTTATCTTCATCATCTCTAATATATTCAATATTATCCTCGAGTAAAATCTCATAGGATTTATTCCTTTGCATTTTTTTTAATCATATAAGCCAGCAACTCTTCTCTTACGTCAGGTGGACACTTCTTGCATATTGATGTAATCTTGAAATTATCTACTTGATGTTGCTTTGCACAAAAAATACCATATCAAACAATCTTATCACAAAAGATGCAAGTAACTGTATTAGAATCTTTAGGATCCTTTAGATAATTGTATACCAAGCAGGTTCCTTTCTTGAATTTTTTTATGAATCTTCTGAATTGCTTTGTACACTTGCCATTAATCCTGAAACTAAGGGATACAGTTTCGAATGATACCGCCCGGTACGGGCAGTATGTACCGGTTCGACAGTAAATCGGTACGTGGAACACTCGCTACCAGGCGTGATATATATATATACACACACACACACACACCGAACGATATACCGAGCGGTATATCACCCGATATACAGTTCCGTACCATACCGAGAGAATGTCGAAACTTCGATACAGTACGATATTTCAATCCTTGCCTGAAAACCTAATAACAATTTTAAATAAATAAAGATTTATAGTGTTAAAATCTAAATAGCGACTATTATATGATAACAATAGTTAACAATCTACTGTTAATAGTAATTAGAGGGGAAGAAAAGAGTTACCAACAATGGAAAGTGGGGAATAAAAGGGCAACGATGACGGAGGAACTTTCGGACGACGATAATGCCAGTGGAGGAAGCTGCGAACGATAGTAACGGCAGAGGAAACTTACAATGATAGGAGCAATGACGGTGGAAGCTACGGATGACAACAACGATGAGAGCGAAAGCTACGGATGGCGATGTCGTGAGTAGAGGAATCTTCATATATGTCCATCGGTGGCAGAGGAAGCTGCGGTCCTCTTCCTCGACAGTGGAAGGAGCTACACACAGAAGCAGCATCGATGGAGGGAACTACGCACGAAAGCTAGGCCGTCGAACCCATTCGTCGACGATAAAGAAGTGTCGGTCTTGTGCATTGATGATGGAGGCAACGACCAAGGAAGCATTGACAATAGAGGC